CCTATAATAAACTTTCGAAAGTTAGTGAATTCATATTAGGGTTAGGGTTAGAGGTTTTATATATGCAAAATTACGTGCTGAAAAACTTTTACTTAATAGCCCAAAGCTGGTCTTCATTTTGGTACACAAGATCCTGAGATCTGATTGGCTTTACATATAAAGAGGTGATATCACTTAGGGTGAAAATTAGCAAACAGTTAAAAAATTAATTAGTGATCATCACTATCGTTTGGTGATTAAACTGATATTAGACACCCTAACGTGACATAGAAACTAATTTCAGCTTGGTTAAAAGTAAACTTTCATATTAAAATCGATGAAAAATACTTTTTTTCATGTATAGTTCGTTATAAAAATGATCATTATATTCAGAGTTGTATGTATGATAATTATAAACAAGGTTCGCTATGAACAAAAATCAACTATCTTGATATACAATAAAATATATATATATATATTTAATTAAAGGTGTATAGATATAATATTTGTATCCACTAATAAAAATAATATTTAACAAAAAAATTTCTACAAATATCGCTACAGATAATTTATTTACATCTTCTGAATATAAGGATAATATTTTAGCAATTAAACCATTAAACGTTAATAATTTACAAATGTAAGAATACGTACAGTACGTACGTATTTATGACATCAATTAAATTATTAAAAATAAAAACATAAATCAGTGCCTTAAAAATAAATCTGATTTAAGAAATTAAACAAACTCTTTCAAACAAAGATAACGGAAAAAAATGAAGTTCTATTTGATAATTTTATTATTAAACGTTTTATTTAACATTTCAATTGACGCTAAAGTCTTTAAGTATGTATATGATATATTTTCGTAAGTCATTAACACATTACGAAAAAATATCAAATTTATATATTTTTTTTTATCCAAGGTTGAAATTAAAAAAAGTATCAGAAACTCCAGCTCAAAAAATATATCGTTATACACAATCTGGTGATCACCTCATTCAAAAATATTTTGGATATTCTCAACAAATGCAACATGCAACCCAAATAATTATTCACAAAGATGATGTACAAAGTGGTGTACCTTTACCTTTGACAAATTTTGTCAATGCACAAGTGAGTAAAATGAAATAGATTGGTTAGGGTTAGGGTGATCTACAAAATTTAGCCAATAGGACTATTAATTTCATTTTAATCC